ATATTAATCTACATAATATTAGGCCATCTAGTTTGAATTTATGAACCTACCATTATCACGGCTAACTGTAATCTAACTGCACTAACCGGTAGATGGTAATTTTGCGAACCTAACAAACTTGGTTTTACTATTTTTGGACACCTATAGAATTTACTACAATTTATCAAAGTTCAGCTTATAACTAAATTAAATAAGTATTTCTACTTTACTGGAAATTGAAGAAACCAATCTCTAACTCGCGGCCCAACTCGCGCGGCTCGGCCCACAACGGTGCGACGCGCGGGCGTGGCCTAGCCGGACGACGGCTCGCGGCAGGAAGGATCCGCGCGCGTCGGTAAAAATGTAGAAACGCCCCCGGACTACTCTGTATTCCCCGCGAGCGCTAAGGCACTATTTCGCTAGTCTACGGTTTTATGGTTCCGCCCTTGGAATATTCTATCTTTACATCAGCGACACCCCCACGGCACCCACGTGCGCACAGGCGCGGTGGCGCTGGCACCGGCGGCTGCGGCGGCCGCATCCGCCATTCCCTGGCCTAACTACAGAGCCGACCCTTACCTAGGAGCGAACATGAAGCGTCGGGCGATGGAAACGTGAACCGGGACGCTGCAGCGAGGTTGGATCAAGATGGCGGGTAACCTGTAGTCATGGCGGTGCTGTTTCGGTGAATGTCAGCAAGGCTGGGGCAAAATAGGTAGCTAGTGAGCTCCAGTGACTCACCACGGAACCCTTTGAGGCGGTGATTCATTCGGAGATGGCCCGAGCTGAGCTGGCTACGTGCGCGCGGGGTGGTGCGGTAGTGCACGGCGATGGCACGGCCGCGTTAGGGAAGGCTTGGCTGCGGTAACGCGATGGCCGAGGTGCGTAGGGTGCTTAGGAGGGAGAGATGAGGCCGATGGTGCAAGGAATCGTCACGGGGTGCTTTGAATAGGTGGGTTGCCGTCGGCGCGCACCTGTCCGGTCTTAAGGACCCGACGGAGCGGCGATTCCAAATTGAGGCACTGTGCAGTGGTACAAGCAGTGCGGTGGGGTCGGTTGGGTGGCTGGCTACCTAGCGGAGCTAAGGAGATGACTAATTGAATCACGGTACTGTCACCACGGCGAATCGAAGGAAACGGTCCCGCCGGCCATGGCGACAACGAAGACAGGGGATTTTGGCACGGCTTGGCTCGGCACAGTCGTGGCCGTCAACGCAAAGTACAAGTACACACAATGATGGGGAACAGCGAGGCGTGCTCCAGGTGGCTGTCCGCACGGCCGAACCCGCAAGCCGACGAAGCCCGGTACTGCGTCACAGCGAACGGCACTGGACAAAGGAAGCACTAGCGCAATGTGATGCCAAAGTGATGGTGGAGCAGGCGGCCGTCCCACACGCGTGCAGCTATGGCTAGTCAATGGGAGCAGTGCCACGCGGTGGCGATGAACGGCGCGCAGCGCGACCAGGGTATCGCGCGACGCGACGGCAAGGCAGAGCTGCCAGGACCCGGGTGCAGTGCGCTTTGCGTGCGTGCATGGTGAGTGTCGGGCAGATACGTCCGCCCGAGCAGCAACGCGGGACCCGACGCACATCCGGCCAGTGCAGGGCAGGGCGCGGGCGGCGTCCCAGACGCAGCGCGTCAGCCGCGGTGACGTGAACCGCGCGCCAGCGTGTGGTGGTAGGCAGCCATGGCAACAGCGCAAGGACCATGCGCGCGATGTGCTAGCACAAGGCGGCAGTGAGGACGCGACCGGCGCTTCGGCACGTGTTGGGTGAGCCAGCAGCGGTGCCAGGCGGAGCAGCGGCGGTGACCGCAGCCAGCGCTGGCTCTGCTCCAAATAGGTGGCATGCACGGTTTTTAAAGCTATCGAAAAATCCTACCCGAACGTCCAAACGCCAAACCACTTCTTCTATACTCTAGTGGGTACATAGAGCTATCGACCTAAGACATGACATCACGCCACTCCTTAAGCCGATCGCTCTACAAAGCTTGCCAAACATGGCTTCGTCGACCCGTTTTCAAACTTCGCGAAACGACTTAAACTTCGAACGGTTTTGCGTCGCATTCCAATTCCGACCTACTTGATATACTAGCTAGCGAACCTCGTCCTTGACCGCACATATTTCATCGTCGACTACGAAGTACGTACTACAAACTTTATTAAAGTTCGCATAAACGTTCTACAGCATTTTTATCTGATAAAAATTCGCTTAGAATACTAAACTATGTAAAGCGACATGAAATGTAACATTTATTTCGTGTTTCCAACGAATGTTTCAAGTTATGTACATTACTATATTACATACATCCACAGACAAGTATGATGCTCATGCAGTGTTTTAGCAAAAACAGTACAATGTAACACCAAAGGTGTTACACCTACTTACATCCCTTTGCAAAAAAATGTACCCTACTTACGTGCATCACCACTGTATGCAACATGTGTATGTTACCTGTATAAACCAAGAAATACTCACTTGCTCTCGCACCGACAGTTGCCGAACCAGTATAAACCCTGTGTCATTGAGTGCTATGCCACATCCGATCACAACGTACGGCAAAACTATAAATATTTACTTGTTGGTCGCTTTTCGCATCGACAGTTGGCGCCGTCCGTGGGGAAGACGCCATACGTTCACGCTTTTGGTCATCGGATGACCCACCTTTCCGTCATCTTCGGCATGACGAATTCAAGCGATACGATTCGCTTTGGCTCGCTGGAGTTTCCCACGCTCCCGCTTGTTGGGACGTGGGTTCCTCCCGTCTTTGAGCCGTTCTAGACCTTCCTCTTTGGAAGCCTGGACTTCGTCGCCGACCAGCTCGGCGTGCTTCGTGTCCGCGAGGAGGCACTTGTCCCGGTGCCCGTCGGAGCAGGAGCGCCCTCCGTCAGCTCCGGGCCACCCGGTGACCTCAACGACGAGACACCCGCACTTCGCCCCGAGCCCACGCTGGGCCCAAACCCCACTGTGACTAACGTACATATTGTTCTCTACTCGCTATTTAATATCTTCCGCCGACTCTCCGGAAGGACCCCGTTGTCCCCACCGCAACCGCCGTGCTACCGGTTCCCCTACGGCCATGCGTCCCCCGCGGACGCGTACGCACGGGGGCTCCGAAAGATGCTGGCGCCCCCCCTCTCACATCCAAATTCGTGGGGATGGCGGGCTACGCTCCCGTCTCTTTCCACGACCTCGTGGATAACGAGGTTGAAAGCGACGGCTCCAGCATCGACGACGTCGTGGCACCTAGCCACCCTCTGTCCCGAGAGTGCGCTATGGCGGATGCTCCGGGACAGCCGTCGGTGGTAGCAGAGTCTCTACAGACTCACACCCCTCCAGACCCTCGTGCGGAGGCCCTCGCTCGTGCACAGGAGCACGGCGAAGAGTTGTGACAAAGGCGGTAGAGCCAACTGCCACCTGCGCTAGCGCGCTCGGGGTCACGCCCGTCAGGTCCAACGCAACATCATGGATGGAGGAAACGATCCCCCACAGTTTGGTCGGGCTGGCCAGAACATCGCCGCTGCGGCGATGCTTCTGCGCGGCCTTCCCGAGCCTGTCGATCCCTAAGAGCAGGCGATCCACCAGAACCTCTGGGGCTGGTGGAAACCGTCGCCGTTAAACAGGCGGAGAGCTCCGCATCGCGACACCGGCTCGCGATCTCTTTCCCTACCGGAGGAATGGGGGCGCACCAGTCGAATCGCTCCATCCGCTCACCACTACAGTCGCCGGGTGTGGAACAGGAGGCCGCAGCTGCACCACAACCGGACCCGGCGTCCGCTCCACACCGACCACCTGTGCGCCCGCTCCACATAATGACCTATAGTTCGGCCGAATCGGCGCCGCCGAGTTCACTGTAGCTACACTACAGTGACGTTTTGTTTTTATTTGGTAATAATTATCCAATCGTTGACTAATTAGGCTCAAAACGTTCGTCTCGCAAAGTATAACCAAACTGTGCAATTAGTTTTTGATTTCGTCAACATTTAATACTTCATACATGTACCACAAGTTTGATGTGACGGGGAATCTTCTTTTTACATAGTGTCAAAGTTTGGAATTGGGGTGAACTAAACACCCCCATAAATACGATTCTGCACCAAAAGCGGGCTTACGGATAGGCCACGTCGCCCGCAAACCCTCCAGCCGGATGCGATATGGACCGTTTGATCTGGATCGTAGGGCGGTCGCGAATCCCTGCAAACCCGCTCGCGGGTGACTCCTCGGTCTGTCCACTGCACGTTTCTCTCCTCCAGTCCTCCAACTGCCGTCCGCCGCCTCCGCACCTCCCTCCACCTCTCGGCGCGGGCGGGGTGCGGGCACCGTCGACCCCGGTTGTCCCGCTAAGACGTCAACCCGGACCCGCGCTGTCGGCCATGCGTGCGGCCCGTGCTTGGCGCGCGTCAGTGCGCCCCTCGCAGCTATGAGATTTTGCCCTTCTTCCCCACTAGAGCAGAGCAGAGCACGCACTTGGCACTGCCGATTCTATCCAGGGGAAGAGCGGCCGGTGGCGATGGAGCCTGCCCAGGGCCCTCGCGCACCCGCGCGACCACGGGCGCCGCCGGCTGCGCCCGCGCGGTCTGGCGACGGCGGTAACCAGTGAGGAGGAGGCCACTCGCGGACGACCCCCACACCTCCCTCCTCCTCCCGGCGTAGGTGGAGGCCCCAGCGGCCCCGGCGCAGGTGGGGTGCTGGAGCGGTGGCCCTGGCCGCTCCGGTCCAGGCCATCCCGGCGTCGGAGGAGGCCCCAGCGACCCTGTCAGCTCTCGCCTGTAGCGCACGCCTAGGATCCCCTCGCTCCGGTCGCTTCCGCTACCTCGGGTCCTCGGCGGCTGCGCTTCCTCTCCCTCTTCTTGCCGGCCACCTTTCTCATTGTCTCCATGTCGACCGCCGCCAGACCTTTGTTGAGACGACGCAGCATTGGCCCAGGGTGCGAGATGCCGGATCCATCAGTCTGCGCCCTCCTTGAGCTGAGTCGTTCCTCCATGGCTAGCCGCAAGTAATGTTGGCATGGATTGCATCGACGATGACGGTGGCTGAGTGGCGTCGTTCTCGGCTAGATGAACGCCGACGTGATTTACAGCCGAAATCCATGGCGTCCGTACCTCGCTCTCCCGCAGCAATGGACTACCACTCCCCTCCTCCTGGCAATGAGGCAACCGCCAAGGTGAGGCCCAGGTTTGCCTCCATCCCATGCTGTGATTTATCCCTCTCCTCTCCTATTGCTTAGGATTATTCTCGTATGGACGATCTGACTTCTTAAGATCTTTATTGTAATTCTATTAGAAAGCATTTGTATTCAAATATTTTCAGGAAGGAGAAGGGAGACGAAATGATTAGTTAGCTCCTAGATGTGCATTGATTGAGTAGGAGAGATTTCGTAGTTCTAAATTATGCAGTGCTCAGTGTTATCGTTCTGAAACAATTTCTAACCTTAAGCCCAAACATGCGTAATCTGAACCTGGTTTGGGATTTGTAATGGTATTTTTTGGTTACGCTACCATTTTATCAAAATAGAACGTGTACCAATGCTACATTTCATTCACTCTTGAAATTGCTTTTATTCACTATGCTATAAGATAAAACAGGAAAAATAAGAAAAGCGGCGTATGCAATAAGTTATTCTTTTCTATGCATTTGGCAGAGGAAATAATCAGGCTTTTAGCACATCTAAGCTACCCTATAATTAATTGAGCAACTTTGTTAGCCCATGTTGCAGTAATCTCCTATCACAAGATCGCATCTTTTTTCATGGTTCTTGGGTCCAAATCTATTTAACCGTGGTGTTCCTTTCCACTCTTCAGGAAGAGTAGAAGGGACGAAAAGAAGACAGCGTTGTCAAGCAGCCGGCCCATGACAGGGTTAGGATGCGTGCTAGCTGTTCTTGCGCTCCGCTATTTCTTGGAGGCTTTAGTTTGATCGGGTATTGCTTCCATTGTTCAGGAAATTTGTCGCGTGCTTGGCGAGCAAAGCGCAACCTGAATGTCAACCAATCAAAACTGATTCAGCACCTGGAGTTGATCAACATAAAGAATCAGTCGTGATGCCACCGTTTGATATCGACGCGGAACTCTACAAGCTGGTCCACAGTAGTGATAGTGACATCGACATTGTATTTGCACTTCTGATTGTGCTCTTGCTCAGAAAGGTATGGGTTTACAAAGAAAATAAAGCGGTTCATTGTCTGACATTGCTTATCTTGTTCCTTTTTTGGTAGATAATCTCAAATCATGAATTCTGAATTTTTGGATGAATATCTCGAATGTGTAGATGTTTTATATATAATGTGCTTATAAGAATGAACAAGTTCCTTACAAAACTAAATAAATTAGACTAGAAACCTATAAGGATCATTCAACTTCAGACAAGAATCTTAACTGCAGTATGGCATAATGTGGAAATGCATGCCTAACGTTGATTAGTATCTTTTATGCACTTTAAGCAACTAATCCAAAGAAAAAAAAGGTCAATATGTTTTCAATCGAGTGACGCTATCATAGCACATTAGTCCACCTCACAGCCTCAGTTGTCATGTGCAACACATTGGAAAGTTATGCTACGCTAAAATTATCACTGCATAATACTTGTACGATTGGACTGACAAACAAAACAAATCTTCAATCAGTGTTGTTAGCTTCAACTTCAAGGCCCATCATCAAGAAATTACAGAAAAGGGGATATAAAGCTACCTCGCGATAAACTTCCCTACATCTTGCATACACATAGGTAATAGCTTAGACATCTATTCCTTTTATTTTGTGCTTGTACTGATTCATATGGATTCTGAACGGGCAAGAAAGAGCTCTTGCAGGACAACCTACCGGGCTCCCCTGGGTCAAACCCTGGACAGCAAAAGCACCCTCTTTCGTCCTGTTCGTTTGGGCTTGTTTGGCTTATAAGCTGTACTTTTTCAGCCAACGGACAGTATTTTTCTCTCACAACAAATCAGCCAACAGTACTTTCAGCCATGGCTTATCAGCCAAACAAGCCTAAACAAACAGGGCGTTTGCCGGTAAATTCCAACAGCGAGGCCAGGTCAGGGTCCATCACATATCTCAAGGTAATAACCTGTTTCCTTCCCAGCAATAGAAATAGAACAATAGTAACAGAAGCTCCTTTAAATTTGTTATCTCTATATAAGAGAAAAAAAATGTGCACCAAGACCTACCAAAATTTAACCCAATTGGAACTCAACTCATCTTTATTTGAAACCTTCTAATTATCTAAACTAACAAGTGAAAAATAAAAAGGTAAATAAGTAATAAAAAAAGTATCTTTGGCTGGACCAGGTTATAGCTTAAGCTCCATCATCACTTTCGGTTCCACATGATATTAGCAAAGTTCCCTTGCACATGAGACAAATGTATCACGCTTATCCTATTCTCCAATCTCCATAGTTCTGATTGAGTAAACATAACGTGTGCTGCCCATAATCGAAACTCAGTATAGGCATACAAAAAAAAGCATGTTCTGATTTTTTTCCCCTTTTACACACTTGCAGCGACTATTCAACAAGCAGGAACATGGAAATAGAAGACAGACTTGGAACAGAAGGGTTATATAGCCATTGCATGCTAGCACCTTTTTGTATCTCCATGTGGTGCCCAGTGGTGTCCGTCGTATATACTGCAATATACACAAAATCAGATCTATGAGATGTTTACATGTCTTCTTTGGTTATCACGAGTTCTTGTGAACCGCTATACTATGTAGGCTTATCACGTATGCTGAACTTCCTTTTCTCTATTCAAGTTGATATAGCCATTATCCTTTCTTGAGAATGATTTCCTTAACCAAGCTATACACAATGTGTATGGAATCCGGTCCTGTTCGCCTGCAGCGGCTGGCTGAAGTATCGCAGGCTGGTGCTGGCCCGACACAGGATTATCCGCGCGGCAACGCCGCGCATGATTTCTAGTATAACTTAAGGTTGCTCCTGACCACGACAACATTTGGTGCACCTGTCTTACGTGCCAAATCTCAGTTATGGCCGAGATCAATACTACCAACATAAGTGAGCAGCTTCCCAAGTATATATCGTTCTCGTTCATTTCATTGCTGTCCGAAAGGCCTTCCAATTAGGGCTGGACAAAATATTCATGTCTTGCCAACTCGCTCGACTCGTGGTCGGCTCAGCTCGGCTCGACTCGGCTCGTTTTAATTTTTTCACGAGTTGAGCTGGAAGTCTAGCTCGCTATTTTAACGAGCTAGCTCGAGCCAACTCGCGAGCTGCTCACGAGATGAAACAGAGCTGAGGCCTATCAGCCCACGACCATGAATCCAGAAGACGATGATGCCGACCTAGAAGTGTACACCTATTCTATTGGTATGTAATCCTCATTTTCAGTTGTTTCATATGAATTTTAATTTTATAATTGTTGTGGTACTTAAATGTTGATTTTATGGATTGTTTTCCAAGGAGAAGATGATGATGTTGACATTGAATCTGTGAACTTTACTAAGTTTGTGGTGGCAAGCAACTAGTTAGTATGCTGGAACTGCATGATCATGGATGGACCAGCTATGTTGCATGGTTGATACTTTTGATGAGCCCGATATGTATTAATCATATATGGTTGCATAATGGTGGATGCCACCTTCTCGAATTAATGTAGCATAAACATTATAAACACGTGTGTCCTTTTTTCAGCAGCTCGCGAGCTAAATGAGCCAGCTCGAGCTCAGTAACAAGGCGAGCCGAACTGCCCCTCTAGCTCGTAATATTAATGAGCCAGCTCGAGCTAGCTTGATATCCGGCCCTACTTCTAATCCTGTATGGATGCTTGTCGCACAAATCTATAGAATGTTTGATTTGGAAAATTAATTCATTCTAGATGAGGTAATACATTATAGATCCATATGTTAATAATTTAGTGGAATAAGATGACGATCTATCAACTTATTATTAGATTGTGAGGAATATGACGATGATAGGTCATCTCATTTTCTTCAAATTAAAAAAGAACTGGGTAGAATGATATTGACAACCAAGCATCCTCTCAGTTCGTCTTCTCAGCCAAATGGTCTACTAGCTACTTTAGCTGCCGAAAAGTGCTGACGAGTTCATGGTAGAACAAGCTCTCTACCTCGTTGTTTGTAGCTGGGACTGGACGCTAGCTAGGGGATGGAAAAAGTTCGCTGCTAGAGAAGAAAGAGAAACCAAACACGCCAAAGGAATCCTGTAGTCCAGGTTAGGCAATGCTAGCAAAGGTTTCAAAGGTCAGCAGCGTGACAGAAACGGGAGGTGGTTTCTAGAGAAGCTTTACGGCAGGCTCGTCTACCTCAGGCCATCAACCAAACAGACCCATCCACATCGCAGCTCTGCTGAATCCAGTGTCATGTTGCTCAAGTTTGCCAAGGGAATGGCGTGATGGTATCCTCCCCGACGCCTCCCATTCCCTGCTCTGCTCCATCCCTCCATCGTCCACGGCGACACGTTTACAGTCCCACATCCTTCTGTGGCCTTTTGTTTCGGCAGTGACCTCTCTCCTCACAAGCGTGTGAAAACGGAGGTGCATTTTATGGGGTTGCAAAGATTTGCTGCTTGGTGCCTGCGTTGTTTGTCTTCAGTTACACACCTACACTGAAGATCAACCACATTTATCTCCGGTGTATCTCTACAGTTGGCACTGGTTGGGTTGAATGAACGCAACCACTGCCAGTGCGAGATTTATTTGCCAACTCTGTCAGTGCTACTAATCATCTGGTGCAAAAACATCAGTGATAGGTGTTCCATTGTACCACATCAATGGCGTCTTTTCATTTATTTTGGAATTGTACATTACATTACATGAGTTAGCCCAATGTTAAGGAGCAGCAACATTATGTCCACTCCTGGGAAATATACAAGGTCTACAGCACACAAGTGCAAACAACAATTCAAAAACAAAGAACCCCATGCTGCTCCAAACAAAAAGGGTCCATCTCCAGTTCCAGAGTAATCTCTTGAAAAGAGGAAGTTCAGCCTCAAGCTTTAGTGACGCAGCGTATATCTCTGGAATGCCTGCACCACGACCAAACTCTGCTCTTTGCTCTAGGATTATCCTTACCGCAGTTGTAGGTTCCAAACCTTGGGTGATACCCCTCATCTTCAGTCTAATAACCTGAGATTCCGATGAGTAGCCGGACAAAAGAGAAACGCTTTGGAGAAAAGTCTCTATGAAGTGCATGTGTACGCTCTTGAACTTGAGCATGCATGGTTGACTTGAAGTTGAGATCACTTTGCCATCAGCAGAGAGAAACTCTGCCTTTATCTAAGCAAGACCATAAAAAGGTACATTAGATTGAAATAATCATCAATGTAACCAGGGGTAAAATTCATAAGCCAGTGTAGCAATGCAAAACCCTGTCATAATGTGTCCAGTTCAGAATGCAAGCCAAAAAAGTGCAGTGAATCAGCCATTTATATAGAACATCACAAAGCAGAACAGAGGTCACAGTTGTTGTCTCAAGACACTACAAATATGAGATGAAATGCAGAAGCGTAACATTGTTAGCATCAAGTCATCTACAATACTTTGATTGGATATCATTTAATTGTCCTTCAGTATGTAAGTGAAAATGCAGTGTAACCTATCAAAAATGCAGGTCATGGAAATACAGAACAAAACAGAAGATAAACACCTATAATCCAGGTATCTTTACATAAAAAAAATAAGCAGAACCCCTCAATTCAAAACATGGTTCACAATTGTTATCTTCTCCTTTATCAAATTAAAAAAAAGGTTATATTTTCATTAGTCAAAATGCAGCAATTGAGATGAAATGCAGAAACATGGTTCTACCTACATAGTTAGCATCACTCTATTTACAAAGCTCCAATCAGATAATATTTTTGTTCTTGGAAGATAATAAACATGGTAGAACTAGAGGAGAAATTTATAAATGAGTGTATATAATGCAAGCCCTAACGCAGTGTCTACAATTGAAAATGCATGTCATGGAAGTATAAAACAGAACCAAGACCCTTCCAAACCGATACCTTTGTATCAAACATTTAAGTCGAACCCATCTATGAATGATAGAGTAGACAAATTTATCTTCTCATTAATCAAGCATATTATGCAACTTACGAATAAAATGTGTCTGTGGTTCTGCCTCCATTATTAACATCAATTCATTTATAAAGCTTCAATTAGAAGTCATTCTTTTCTCAGTAATGGATGACTTTTTTCCCAAAGGGAATTACTATCATGCAAAGTTGCTTCACAAGAACCTGCAAAACATATACCTGGAAAACAC